TGAATAATTCATAATGCTACCAGTACATTATTTGATAGGATAACAGGACCTATATCAGGGCTATCTACCCAATCAATTTAAGATTAAAATTCTAAAAAAAACCTTAAAAGTACATTCAAATTTGCTTGAAAGAGCTGAGAAAAAAGTAATTCTTGCAGAGATGGATTTAACAGCTGCCATATCTCCACCAAATTAAACTCCAGTAAATAAGCTTGAAGGAAATGTTGTGCTTATAAAGTCTCAACTATGTTTTCAAACTATGATATCTGGAAGACTGCTAACTTTTTAAGTGAACCTACCAAACTTTTCTTGTCTACTTTCTTCTTTCTAAAGTTTTCACTATTAGAGAATGCTTTAAATTGAAACCAACATTTGGCAGAAAGAAATAAAAAAACAACAATAGCAACTTAGACGTATATACAGCCCCATAGTGCTTTACAGCACTCTCTGAGCTGTTTACAGTGTCAGCATATTGTCCCCAACAATCTGGGTCCTCATTTTACTGACCTCGGAAGGATGGAAGGCTGAGTCAACCTTGACTTGGTCAGGATCAAAGTCCAGGCTATGGGTAGAATTTGCCTGGAATACTGCATTCTAACCACTATGCCAGGAGGGCCCATTCATAAATAGTTATAGGTAAAGGTAAAGGTTCCCTCGCACATATGTGCTAGTTGTTCCTGACTCTAGGGGGCGGTGCTCATCTCCATTTCAAAGCCGAAGAGCCAACGCTGTTGAAAAATGTCTCCATGGTCATGTGGCTGGCATGACTAAACGCCAAAGGCGCACAGAACGCTGTTACCTTCCCACCAAAGGTGGTCCCTATTTTTCTACTTGCATTTTTTATGTGCTTTTGAACTGCTAAGTTGGCAGAAGCTAGGACAAGTAACGGGAGCTCACCCCATTATGCGGCACTAGGGATTTGAACCGCTGAATTGCCGACCATTCGATCGACAAGCTCAGTGTTTTAGCCACCGAGCCACCGCAAATAGTTATTCATATGCATAAAATAGTTCCAAGAAAGACAATTGGACATAATATTGTTTCATGAAACAAAACATTCAGGTATAGTATTTAAAAGTATTGCTTTTTAAATTAAAAAAACAGTAGATTTAAGCAAACCAGAGTTTTTAATATATGTAGGTTCTACTTACCTTTACTACTGGGTCACAACAGGATCGCCCCCGCGCACTTGCTTCGCTTGCGCGCCTTGCTTCTGCGCACGCGCAGATTGCTGATGATGGCATCCGGGGCGGTAGGCAGGGCCTCCTGCTGGTTTTACTACCGGTTCTTGCGAATTGATCCAAACCGGGGGCAACCCACCACTGGTAGGTAGTATAGTGATACATTCATTCAAAGTCAAATCAAAGTCAGATCAAAAATGATTTGGAAGAACTGTTTCAAAACTAGCAGGATCACCACACTTGTATTCATTAAAGCAGCCCTTATGATCCTGAGAAAAAGATGCTGCTTGAAAAGTTAACTTATTAAAGCATCTTTATCTTTTCTTCAGGTTCATGCTTGATCTGTAGCACTTCTTCCAAATCATTTTTTGAGCGTACAACAGCCAACATATCCAACAGAAGGATTTTCCATATCAGGCAGACCTAACCATTAATCCTCAACTTACATGATCACATGATCAAAATTCAAATGCTTGGCATATTTATGATGACTGCAGTGTCCTAGAGTCATGTGATCAGCTTTTCCAACCTTCTGACAAGCCAAGTCAATGGGGAAGCCAGATTTACTTAACAACTGTGCTAGTAACTTAACAACTACAAAGATTCACTTGCCACAACTGTGGCAATAAAGGTCATAAAATGGGGGAAATGGGAAAAATGTCTGACTTAGCAACATGAATTTTGGGGGTCATGGTTGTAAGTCAAGGACTACCTTATTGATAAGTGGTTTGGGGTAACAAAGGAAAAGGTTTATATGAAGCACTGCTCTACACTATGTTTTCTGTAATGGCTGGCTCTCTATTTTTGGCGTTTACCAAGGCACGATGCATTTATTTCAATGGAATCATTTACAAACACACTTTTCAGTGTGAGGCCCAAAGAACAACACAGCTACATTATCTGTACTATAACATTTTAAATGGGGACAGGTTAAAATGAGATCTTCTAGACTACAACTTCATCACGGGTAGCTCTTTCTAGATTTTCTATATATAATGGCTTTCAAAGGCATATATCTCTGTGCTGATTCTTTGTGACACAAAGCTGTGTCACTTCTTAAAAAAATACAACAAGGGGGGGGGGGAATAGCCAAGCCCCTTAATTTCTTTGTTTTTATGCTAAGTACCATTTATGGCTTTTAATTTGCATTTTGCTGAATTTGATTTCTGTGTTTTCTTCACGTTCCACAATTACAAACAAATATACAGAGTTTGCCCCTCCAAACAACAAAAAAACTTCAACAGATGCTTTTAGAATCAGTATGCCAAACAAAGAATATAAATGAGCAAAGTAATAGAGTGATACGTACATACACATCTTTTGATTCAAGAGTTCCTTGCCAATGCTGATCCAATGCTGTCTGGACTCTCCAAAGAAAAAACACCTGAAAAACTCAATTGGCCCATTCTTTCTAAAGTGGTTCTCACCCCAAGACAAATGTAACAATAGGTCAGAAAAAAAATATTTACATCAATCATTCAGTCAGATGAGAACAGGAGGAACCAAAATATGTCGGGACACGCAGAATTTATACATTGAAACTGCTCTGAACCTCTATCTTACGAACTACGAAGTTTGGTTTCTGATATGTATATATAGAAACCACCATCCTATGGCATTGGGTGGCAATTTGGCATGACTGTTAGCACAGAACCAGAATCATGTACTTCTATCTGAAATACTGTTGTTGTAAGGTGACCAACTTTTTTACAATGAGAAGGAGGACACAAATTAATTGAAGAAAAAAAATATCATAAATAAAAGAAACATTTTATTCATTGCAACAATAATACAGAATAGTAAACAAAGCCACTTGCGCACGGCGCACTCTCTCAAAACAATTCTATGCGGAGCACATGCATCTCATAATCACGTCTCACCGCACTGTACTGAGCCTTGACGAATCGGCATGTCAAATACAAATACGTCACATCACACACAACGGATCGGATCAGCATCGATCGAATACGGAGATTTACAGATTAGTCTTCAAATATCGAAAAGGAGGACATGTAGGAGGACACTTTTTGAGAGAGGACAGAACTTACAAAAGAAGGACTGTCCTCCCTAAAGGAGGACGATTGGTCACCTTAATTGTTGTCCAGTAGTAGGATGATTATGTGATTTTAAAAAAAGATTGAAATGGCATGTTTGCGGGTTTTTTTGTTTTTGCTTAACATCCAGATTTTTTCATGTAACTTCTACTTTTTTTAAGTCTCTCCAAATTTAATCAGCAAAATGGAAGTGCACCTCAAGGTGGACAGTCAGGTAGACATCGAAAAAAAGGGCTTTCTTCAAGGACGGATGCAGTGGTCCTTCTCCCTAGGGATCAGTAGATCCCAAAGCATAAAAATATTGGCATGATCTTATGTGGTGAGAAATAGATCCCCAGAAAGATCCGAGGACAGAAAGGCGGAGGGAGGGCATTTCAGAAAATCAAAATAGCAGCACCTTCCATGCAATCAAAGCCCGTCAGACACACGATGCGGGTGAAAAAGAGGGGGTCTTTGCTTGCAGGATTGTGGGTAGAACAATAGAGTTGGAAGGGACCTTTATTTTATTTATTTTATTTTATTATTACTATTTCTATGCCGCCCACTCTCCGAGGACTCTGGGCGGCTTACACCAAAGACAGTATACTAAATAGCATATTGCCCCCAACAATCTGGGTCCTCATTTTACCCACCTCGAAGGATGGAAGGCTGAGTCAACCTTGAGCCGGTGAGATTTGATCTGCTGATTTGCTGAACTAGCAGTCAGCTGAAGTAGCTGCAGTACTGCACCCTAACCACTGCGCCACCTCGGCTCTTGGAGGTCTTCTAGTTCAACCCCAAGAAGATCCTATATAGTATACCATTCCGGACTTTTTTTTTTTTTAATTTGATTTATATGCCGCCCTTCTCCAGAGACTCAGGGCGGCTTATAGTGCATTAAGCAATAGCCTTCATACTTTTGTATATTTTTACAAAGTCAGCTTATTGCCCCCACAAACTGGGTCTTCAATTTACCTACCTTAGAAAGGATGGAAGGCTGAGTCAACCTTGAGCCTGGCGAGATTCGAACTTACTAACTGCAGACAGCTGGAGTTAAATTACAATGCATTAGTCTGCTGAGCTATCCAGGCTCCTCCTTGCCTTTTTTGACATTGCGTGATAACAGAGGGGAAATAAAAAGAATTGCACCCTCTGCTTAAAAATTTCAGCAGAAGTACTAAGACTGTATTACTATTATTCTTCTCTTCCTTACGAGTATCTATCTCTTCCCACTTATTACTATAACCACGTTGCTTGTGTCTTTCCATTTATATTGTTTTTATTTGTTTCCTAGTACAATTTGATAGCTTATTAGTAACCTTGACTATCACCAAGTGTTGTATCTTTTTACTCTCGATGAATGTATTTTATTCTCCTTATGTACACTGAGAGCATAGGCACCGAAGACAAATTCCTTGTGTGTCCAATCACACTTGGCCAATAAAAAATTCTCTATTCTAAATCAGAAGAACTTGGTTTTTTAGGAAGGGAGCAGACACAGATCGCCCCACCCACTTAGGTTTTGGCTCCGCCCACCTCGCGTTCTGGCCCCTCCCGCCGCTCTTTGAAGAGTTTCCGGAACTTTTTGCAGAAGTGCCTGGCTCTGTCCCCCGCCCCCCCCCCCCCCCCCCCCACACACACGCTTCTTGCATTGCTTTCCTGACACGGCACCTGTGTCTGAAGCCACCGGAGGGGAAACCATTTGCAAAACGCACGGAATAAACTGGTGAGAAAGCAAGAGCCGGTCGTGCCGGGAGAAACGTCTGAGTGCATTGATCGTGCCTACCTTTTTACTGTTGCTTTTAGCTCCTGGGCTGATGGCCAAGTTAGGAGAGCCGGGAGACTTCGGGCCGAAGGTAACCGGAAGTCGCTGTTATAACTAGCAAAAAAAAAAAAAAAAGAGCTTCTGTGACGTAACGAAGGAAAAGTTTCTTCTGGGTTCTCGCTGCAAGCTGCTGGACGGATCAAAGAGGCAAAGCGTTTTGCAGCGCTCCCAAAGACCGGTGCCCCGGAGAACGCTGCGAGGCAGCAGCTCCACGCTTTCTATGGGACTCAGACCCCACTACAATTCAGAAGGTTTCGTTTCTGAACTAGGACCGGGTTTATTCGGCTTTTCTGGGCTTCAAATCATGCTTCAAGGCATTTTTTTTTCCTTAAGATCAGATGCTTAAGGAATGTCGTTTGAAATCCCTTTATAATGATTTCTATAAATATTCAGCCTTAAATGTTTATACATAAAAGCACTGGGGACCATGTAAGATTCATCCCACGTGCATTGGTGTTTTTCTGAGTTTGACAGTGAGAAAACAAACTTTATCCTTTTTTTTATTACTATTTTTTTGTAACATCTCCCTCTCTATTTCAGTCCTAGGTCAGATCGAATGTAAAATACCCCTCGGTTCAGTTGGCTTGGCTGTTTGAGAAGTTCTTTCTTAGGCAATATAACGTTGGTTTTAAGACAAGGCAAATCCAGTCTGTTTCTGAAACTTGGTTTTGAACAAAAGGTCTCTTGGTTTTAGGGAGATAGCTGTGTTTTTATTTTTTCAAATACCCTAAAAGGACAACCAAAGAACATTTATGATCACAGCAAGTCTATTTGGGGGACAAAAAACCCCCGAGTTAGGACACAGTCCACTAAACACAATCTTCTCTGCAAGAATATATGATGATCTCTTAATAAAACCCAGTGGCTGAAATCTTTAAACTGCAGATGCCAATGTTAAAGCCAATGAGGTTTATCTGAGATACGATTATTGCTAATTGAAATCTGGATAGCGGATGAAACTCATATGCTTTTAGGACCTTATGCCAGCCCTCAGTTGGATGTAGCTCATAAATCTTTCAGAAAATCATATCCAGGAAGTTGCTAATAACAGAAACTTCAAGATATGCTTTGTTGTAGTAAGGAAGAAGGACTCTAAGCATCTTTAGGTCTTTCATGTAACTGATCTGATTATCTCTCCATCAGAATATATTCCTTGTTAAAAAAAATCCACATTAAAAAGCCATTTCCTTTTTAAAATAGTGTATCTAAAAGATAATGCTTTGAAAGTTTGGTACCAAAAGACACAGTTATATTAAAACAATAAAAGGGTTACATCAGGGAATTTCAGATATAAAAAGTCTACAGTGAGAACATTTGCCCAATCAAGAATGGCATTATGGAAATTGCTTGAGGAATTTACATTAACAGTTATGTACTAAGGGGGAAGTTGTGTTCAAAAGCTCCATATGTTAGGGAAAGTTGTGAATGAAAACAGATGCAGATTTTTCAGGGGTTGTTTTTTTTTAAACAAAGTCATAGATTGGAATGTTTCTCCACTGGTGTAGATTATGAAACAGGAAAAAAAATTGTATCAATTTGCACCTCTACCTGTTATTGTGATTCCCCCCCCCCCAAATCAAACAATAATATACCAACCCTTCAGCTTTCTGTTATTACTATCTCAAGAGCCAAAGTAAAAAACTGAAGTAAAACCAGAGAATATGAAAGCTGCCACGGATGCAGCTTTCTGCAAATCCTTTGCCTTAGGCATTAGTCATCAGCCCATTAATCCATTTAGTGCAGTAATGTTAATGGCTCTCTTGGTAGCACTTCTGTAGGGTGTGAAATGAAGCTCTCTCTTGGCTGAGGGTGGTGTTTTTGGAATACAGAAAGAGAAGAACAGAAAAGAAAAGCTATGAAGGCCATAAAGAATGTTAAAAGATACTCGTACTTATGGTAGTTACTGATCGTTCAATGAATATTGGTGCATTCTGTACTCCCAAAATGGGAGGTTCTCATTGCATGTGGGCAAAAGTCTCTTGACCATTTACAGATAGTCCTCAACTTATAACCACAATTGAGCCAAAAATTTCTGTTGCTAAATGAGACCGCTGTTAAGTGTGTTTTGTCCCATTTTACAACTTTTCCTGCCACAGTTGTTAAGTGAATCACTGCAGTTGTTAAGTTAGCAAAACAGTTGTTAAGTGAGTCTGGCGTCCCCATTGGTTTTGCCTGTCAAAAGGTCATAAAAGGAGATCACAAGACCCTGGGACACTGCAATCGTCATAAATATGTACCAATTGGCAAGCATCAGAGTTTCAATAACATGATGTTGCAATGGTTATAAGTGTGAAAAAAAGGTCACAAGTCACTTTTTTCAAAGCTTGTTGTAACTTCGAATGGTCACTAAATGAATGGTTGTAAATCAAGAACTACCTGTACTTTCAAATAATCCCACTAAAACGGGTGGGCAACTGTGTGGCCCTTTTACAACCTGTGGACTTCAACTCCCAGAATTCCTGAGACAGCTTGGCTGGAAAACTCCCAGGAATTCTGGGAGCTGAAGTCCACAGGTTGTAAAAGGGCCACAGTTGCCCATCCCTACACTAAAAATATCCAGCATGAATGATCTGAGTTTCTTTAAAAAAAACAAAAAACATCCAGGTTCAAGTCCTGAATTTTTGAAAAGCACCAGGATTTTTTGTTTTTTTCAGAAAAGCATGTGAACACATTTATAAAATGAGTGCAGAAACAATGGTCCAAACATTAAACAAGAATAACTTCATAACAGAGAGCCAATTTAATGTAGTGGTTAAGACGTCTGTCTAGAAACTGGGAGACCGTGAATTCCAGTCCCATTTTGGGCACAAAATCAGCAGGGTGACCTTGGGCTAGTCACACTCTCTCAGCCCTATGATGAAGTCCAGAGCAAACCACTTCTGAAAAATTTGCCAGGAAATTTGCAAGAGTCAAAAACTGACTTGAAGGCGTGCACGCACTGGTATACAACTTCATAACAAGGATTAAGCAAATGAAAAAGTCAAATTTGAGGTTTTTAATTTCGTTGTATGAGGTGCAATGCCAATAAAGTAAACTAAACTAAACTAAGGTAGGCTTTAACCAAAGTATGAGTACAATTTATTTACATATCTATTTATAAATGTATATTTTGTCCAGAAACCTATTTTGCCATCCTGTTGTTTATAAAAGTACTCTTTAAGATTATCACTTTTGTGGAAACATAATTGTTGGTAAAAGAAATGCTTCAAATCCATTTGAACATTTGGCATCAAATGTGGAAGAAAAAGCCTTGCAGGCAATGGTAGAATTCAATTTTTTTTTACTACTGGTTCTGTGGGCGTGGCTTGGTGGGCATAGTGTGGCTTGGTGGGCGTGGCAGGGGAAGGATACTGCAAAATCTCCATTCCCACCCCACTCCAGGGGAAGTATACTGCAGAATCCCCATTCCCTCCCCTTTTCTGGGGCCAGAGGTGGTATTTGCCAGTTCTCCAAACTACTAAAAATTTCCGCTACCGGTTCTCCAGAACCTGCTGAATAGCACCCCGGCTTGCAGGATCCACAAGTCCTTCTTTTCCAGGTTTTCAGTCCAGGGAGGTCCACCCTTGGCAACTTTAAGACCTGTGAACTTCAACTCCCAAAATTCCCCAGCCAGCCATTCTGGACTTGATGCCCACAGATCTTAAAGTTGCCAAAGGGGTGGATACCTCTGCTTCAGACCAACTGGAGACTGAAGACTCCACCTTTCCCACTGCTATTTTGAAGAAGAACAGATGCTACAAGGAGTTATAAGACAACTGAGATCAGTATGTCTGGGTGTAGCTTGAAGTTCAGGAAGATTCTGGAACAAGTCAGTGCCTATGATTCAGGAGCTACTAAATAGCCATCAAAAACAGCCCTCGATATCTTCCCAGAGGGTCAAGCTATCAAAGGGTGGCTAAGCTCTCATAATTAACCGAGGTGGTGATAATTAAAAAACTGTCAAGAGTAAAAGAATCCCCATAAAACCTGGAAGATTTATAGAAAGAAAGCCTAGAACTATATAGAAGTAAAAACAATGCTCCAGTAAAACATGGAAGATGCCAGAATAAAGTGTAGAGTAATAAGGCATAGAAATACATAACTTCAGACATTTTTTTAAAGTCGTAAGTAGAAGAAAACACAGAGAAGAAGGCTAGACATATGTGGAAATAAAAAATATATCTAGAAATAGAGATAGATATCAAAATGATAGCCATAAGTCATAGAAGTACAAAGAAACCTATTTATGGAACAAGGGACACTTATTTTCTTATAAAGCATTCTCCCTTAAACCAAAGGAAGATAAAATTCTCTCTTTTTTTTTTTTCTCTCTCTCTCTCTTCCGTGCTTTTTTAACTTATTTTCCAATCTGGTACTCTCTAGTGATGTTGTAGTGATGATTATGCTGGCTAGGAATTATCACATTTAGCCACAGGAAAATGATTGCAAATGTTGTGCATTGCCTACAGGTGTAATGGCAACCAACAGGTGTGTTTTTAAAAGAGGACTGGACAAGCTATCGGAAACTACTAGCTTGACAGCTAGCTCCTGAATCATAGGAAGCATGCCTGAATCCTGTTTCATGGAAATGACAGTGCAAGTGACATTCATGTAGGCTTGTGAGTTTCACAAATGCATCCAGTTGGCCACTGTATGGTACAGAATGCAGAACAAGGCCCGTTCTGGTCTCTGAGCTCTTACATTGTTATGAGTCACATATTTAGTTCCCCTCAAAAGTAAACAAAACCTACTTTGGCTTGGACATTCTTTAATTCTCTTGAGGTAAAAGGGGAACAAGAGATGGCTGAAACAGAACAATTTGCTTCTAATTTATTAAAGCTGTTACCATGGATCCGATTTAGGAAACCACAGTGAGAGATGAGCCCCATCATGACCAAAGTACCAAATGCAGAGAGAGAGAGAGGTCTGCCGTTAAAGAGCTAGAACAAAGGAAAGTAAATCTTTTTGTTGAAAAATGTGTAACTGCCTTATAGTTCTTGTCCTTGCCAGACAATTGAGCTCATTTAACTCCCTTAGAAATCAGAAAATATTGTAATTAGACAAAAGCTACATAA